CAGAAGAGAGAGAGCAAGATACCAAAAACATATTGGAAGAAATAGTGACAGAAAAAATTGCCCACCTGGTGAAAGATTTAGATTTACAACTCCAGGGAGTGCACAGAACCCCAAACAAAAAGAATCCAAAGAGGACCACACCAAGACACATCATAATTAAAATTCCAAGAGCAAAAGACACAGAGAGAATATTAAAAGCAGCAAGAGAAAAGCAGGCAATTACCTATAAAGAAGCACACATACGATTGTCAGCTCATTTCTCAACAGAAATGGCAAGAAATATTCAAGGTGATGAATCTCAAGAACCTAAAGCCAAAAATATTCTACCCAGCAAAGCTATCACTCAGAATCAAAGGTCAAATAAAGAGCCTCACAAACAAACAAACAAACAAACAAAAGCTAAAGGAGTTCATCACCGCCAAAGCAGAATTATTAATATATGAGTTGCTAAAGTGGGATGTTTAGGAAGAGGAAGAAAATAAAGATAAAAATTATGAACAACAATTATGTAACTATTAACAAGTGAATAAAAAAAACCAAGGGAATTAAAAAATCTGATGAACAATATTAAGTGGTGAATATAATAGAATCAGAGGTATGGAAGGGGAGTGGAATGACAATTCTCGGGGGAAAGGGGAGTGGGGGTGCGGGAAGAGACTGAATATAAAGTGTGCACCTATGGATGAGGATAATGGGGGGTGGGGAAAGGGCAGAGGGTGGGATGGGAACCTGGTGGAGGGGAGCAATGGAAGGGAAAAATGAGGAACATTTGTAATAATATGAACAATAAAGATTTATTTAAAAATAAAAAATATTTTAAAAGAATAACACACAGAGAGAGACAAAAAGATAGAGAGAGAGAAAAAGAGAGAGAGAAGAGAATTAACTGTGAAGCATAATTCCAAGACTTTCAAGCAATATGAAAATAAATTTACAAAAAACTGGAAGAACAATTATAAGCAGTTTGGTATTTGCTTCAGTATCTAGTCCTATCCCATTGATTTCTAACATAAAAACAAATAGTTTCTGGGTCTCACATATCTGCAATAATTGTCAGTATAATTTATGATTGTTATCCTTGCTTCTTGGAGAGATGCCTTTCTCAATATTTGTGATTTAGATCCAAAAAGTTCCTTTTGATATTTCCTTAAGGTAATGAATTAATGGGGGGGAAAATCTTGTTTATCTTCCCCTTGATTTACTAGTAAGGAGTGCACAACAACTTCAAAAACAACAACTAAAATCAAAACGAACTTCCAAAAACACAGGAAAGCTCGCAGAGTGGAAATTTAAACTAGAAAGAAGGAGAGAGGCTCACGGATTGGCTTGGGAGGCGCAAAGCGCTCAGGTAGGGAGACACTCAGGCACAGAGAGGAAGTGCAGCCGAATGCCTGGATGGCAGGAGGAGAAAGGAATTCCTGATTGCAATGAACCCTTTCCGACTGTACTGAACCGCAATCCCGGCCGAAACCCTGTGGACCCAGGCTCATATGGGTGGAGCCTGGCCTATAGAGAAAGGCACCCAGAGATTCAGAGACTGTGAGGCTGGGGGAGCTGGGAGCCGCAGCGGGCAGGGTCTACAGTCGCGCTCCAGTGAGTAAGCGCTGAGGTCTGACGGTGTAGGTTGCCACTGCCTGTCCATAGTGGAAGGAGTCAGAAGCTTCAGACTACAGAGACCCATCCCAATTCTGGGTGAGCCCCTTCAGCACCCACGCTCTTGCAAGGGGAATCTGGGACAGTCAGGCGGAAACTCAGGAGAGCCACAGAAGGCAGAGGTCAGGCAGAAACTCAGGCTCTCGCACAAGGGCAGGGTTGACGGGAAGCCAAGACTGTCAGCTCAGCCCTGAGACTCCGCCCCATCCAAGCTGAGCACAGAGGCTTCTGCAATTTTACAAGTCTGATCCTATAAGACTGTCTCCAACACAGAAGGTATCCCACAGTAGACACAGCCGATACCCACATCTAATTGGCCAGTAGGTCAATTCCTCCCAGGGATACCAACAACAATAAAGACTTAACTACAACAAGGCCATGCACGAAGTCCACAAAGGGGAGCACCAAGAGTGTCTACCTCAGGTAACTGAGGAGGCTGACCCACTGGGCCATAAAGGACACCAAACACACAAAGCCATCCTACCAACTCTGGGAAGCAGCAAAAATGCCGAGACAAGGAAATAGATCTCAAACAAAAGAGGTGGAGGAGAACAAAAGACTGGATATAGAGCGAGCATCACTGGCCAGTCTGCTCTACTCCTCACACACAGAGGCCTACCGCCCCACCTCTGGAAGTGGTGTTCGGTGCCTCAAAGCCCCAACTGCAGATGGCCTTCTGCTCACAGATTGCCTCCCACCCAGGGCCCAGGTCCACAAGCTGGGGGAGACCAGCCCCCCCTTTCGGAACAGTCGTGGGCCGCCATGAGCTTCCAAGGCCCCCATCGACACCACCTTGGGGCATCTCACAACGGAGTGTCCTGCCATCCCCACAGCCCTGTCTATGGGCTTTGACATCGGGGAGAGAGCTGTGTCAAGTCCCTGAAAATCACTTTCCACTCTGGGGGCACTGACCCGCCCCTCCTGAGGTACTTACTGGTCGCCATGCCCTGAGCGCCAGCTTACTGCCCCATTCATGGGAACGTCCTTCTTTGAGGACAAGGGACCTTCTTGCTGGCATCCAGTCTGGACCTTGGGAAGGTCAGGCTTTTGCCTCCTCTCAAGACCCCCATCCGCATTCACAGGGCCCCATGGCCTTATCCACTGGACCACTTCCATGTGTTGCCCCTGGCCCCAACCCCTTCTTGGCTTGGGTGCTTCTGGCTGATCATGTAGCCTGCCCCTCAAAACCCCCAACTCCCTTGTTTAGGTCACTGCTGTCTAGCAGGCATCACCAGAAAAGGATGTAAATGTATTAGTGGCAAGCAACCTATTGGAGAAAGAATTCAGAGAAATTATCATAAGATGGCTAAAAAGAATGGAAGACAAATTTGACATAATGAGTAAGAACCAAAGTTTCAATTGTAGAAGATAAAATAATTCCCAGATACCAGGGTCTCCGCTTGTTTCGCCAGGGGACATGGCCGGCCTCCAAACCACCACAGGCCCCTCACCCATGCTGCCCCACACCCCAAGGGAACCCCCACCCTGACACACCCCTACCTTTCAGGGCAAACCAGTTGGCTCCCACCCATGCACCAGGCCTGTATCCAATCTAATGTGTTACCCCAAAAATAAGACATCCTCCAAAAATGAGACCTACTTACAGGTTTCCTTCTGAGTGAAATATAAGGCATCTCCCTGAAAATAAGCCCTCCCCAGGCTAAAAATGAGAGATTTGGTCCACTGATTATGAAAGAAATGGAGTCACAAGAAATTCACCAGGAAATTCAGGAATTGGATTGTTATGATGATGTTCCAGAAGATGATGACATGATTGTCATTGAATAAATGAGTAAATTCTTGATACTGTAGGATTCACAGTTTGTCTGGTTTGTGTTGACAACTACCATACTACCGTACCGTATACAGGTAATAAATTTCCTTTATTTTCATTTAACAATAAATGTGTACTGTATTCTTCTTCATGGAAAAATAAGACATCCCCTGAAAATAAGGCCTAGCGCATCTTTGGGCACAAAAATTAATATAAGTCACGGTCTTATTTTGGGGGATACAGGGTAATAAAAGAGTATTATGCAGATTGACCATCACTCCAATATACAAGATGGCTGCCCCCACGTGGACACCAGATGGCCACCACAAGATGGCCAGCAGGGGAGGGCAGTTGGGGGGTCCAGTCCTGCAGGGGAGGGTAGTTAGAAATGACCAGGCTTGCAGAGGAGGGCAGTTAGGGACAAACAGGCTAGCAGGGGAGCAGTTTAGCATCAATCAGGCTGGCAGGGTCATGGTTACGGAGTGATCAGGCTGGCAGGCAGAAGCGATTAGGGGCAATCAGGAGGGCAGGCAGGCAAGCAGTTGGGAGCCAGCAGTCCTGGATTGTGAGTGGGATGTCTGACTGCCCGTTTAGCCCAATCAGTCAGACATACCATGAGGGGTCCCAGATTGGAGAGGGTGCAGGCTGGGCTGAGGGACACCCCCCTGCGTGCACAAATTTCGTGACCGGGTTCTAGTAAGAGATAAAAGGGGATATCACCACAGATCCCATGGACATCAAAAGGCTAACAGAGGAATACTATAAACTATGCCCACAAAATTAATCACCTTCCAGAAATAGAAAGAACTGGGCTAAGATGGGCTCACTGGTCAATGCTAGGCAACATTTAGGGAATAGATTACACCAATTATCTGAAGATCTTTTTTTTTTTAAACAGTTTTTTTTAAAATATATTTTATTGATTTTGTACAGAGAGGAAGGGAGAGAGAGAGTTAGAAACATTGATGAGAGAGAAACATTGATCAGCTGCCTCTTGCACACCCCACACTGGGGATGTGCGGGCAACCAAGGCACATGCCCTTGACCGGAATCGAACCCGGGACCCTTCAGTCCGTAGGCCGACGCTCCATCCACTGAGTCAAACCGGTTTCGGCTATCTGCAGATCTTTAGGAGACAAAAGCAGACAGGCCACACACTTCAAGAGCACTACAGAGCGACAGGCATCCAGGTGCGATTGGCAACAACTACCGATCAATGGAGAACAGAGAACGGTCCTGTAACCACTGGGGGTTACAGGTAAAATCTGAATCCTCCACCTTCCCGGGAGCCTGTGCTCCGGCTTCCGGCCCCCCAATCCGGGCCCCGCCCCCGGCGCGCTGCAGCCCCTGCTTCCTGCCCGCGGACCCCGCCCCCCCGGCTCATGGGCCCCGCCCCCGGCGCGCTGCAACACTGCTTCCGGCGCCCAGGCGTAAATGTCACTTCCGGTGTTTCCTGGCGCGGTTCCAAGGTGAGTCGCTGTGCCAGTACTTAAGATGGTCGCTGGCCCTTCCGCCGCAGTGGCCAATGGAGGGGAAGCAGGCAGGAGCCCGGAGTTGCCCGGCTCCGCCATGGCCGCCGGGGGCGTGGCTTCCGGCGCTCGCGCCCTTGAATCGGGGTGGCCGGTCCGGCGCAGGCGGCGGCTGACAGGCGCTCCTCCTCCTGCTCCTCTCCCTTCTCGTTCTCCGCCTCTTCCGACGGCGCGGCTCGTGCCCAGGAGGACTGCCGGCCCCCGGCTCGCGGCCCTGCAAGGCGCCAGGGCCGCTCTGGGGGATGGACGAGGGGAAGATGGACGAGAATGAATGGGGGTACCACGGCGAGGGCAACAAGAGCCTGGTTGTGGCCCACGCGCAGGTGAGCGACCGACGTCGGCGCGTCTGGGACCCTCACCTTGCCCGACCGTTTCCTTCCCCCAGCACCCCGCGGTGCGGGCGGGTCCGCTCCTCCCAGACCCTTCCCCTGTCACCCCGGTCAGTTCCGCGTCCCCCAGCACCCCTCCGGGTCGCTTCCGCGTCCCCGCAGTGTCAGCCCTCTCCCGGTGAGTTCCCTGTGGCTCCAGGGTCGCCATCCCCTGGCCAGTTCCCCGGGGCCTCCCGGGCTCTGGCGCTGTGGGCAGAGGGTGAGCTGCGCGGGGGGGAGAAGACCCCGGAGGCTTGGGCCTCCCGCGCGGGGCGGCGGGGCGGGCGCGCAGGCTCTGAGACGCCCGAGCTGCTGCTCTGCTGCTGCTCACCGCGGAGCACTGCCCGTTCGCTCTTCAGAAAGTGCTGCGAGAGCTCCCAGGGAGGTGGCTCCAGGAAGAGAGGCTGTGGACTTGTGCGAAGGCCCAGGTCTCCCTGACCGGCTGCCGGCTGACCCCAGCGGCAGGAATGCAGCGGCTGGGGGAAGGGTCAAGAGCATGCGAGTTGGAGTCACACAGAACGGGCAGAATCCCAGTTCTACCACGGCCCGGCCCAGTCTCCATTTCTGCATTTGCAAAGGGAACTACGGTAGTAACAGAACCCCCTTTGTGTAATTGCTAGAAAGATGAGGGAGCAGGAGCTGGACAGGTTACACCTGGCAAGTGAGGCTAAGATACCTGACCCAGCCCACGAGCTCCTCTGGGATGGTGCCTGGCTCTGCCATTCCATACTGGGTGCGCCGGGTCAGCTGTAGGGAAAGTTGCAGTCACCCCGACACCCCTATGTACTGCCACAATCTGGAAACGTAAGAACTGGGACTACACGCTTTGCTCAAGATCTTTAGATGAATTAACAATGGGCCAGGCTCACCTGAAGCTGTTCTCTGTGCAGTCAGCTGGGCCCCGTTCTGTTTCAAGGTCAGGCAAAGCATGGGGTATTTCAGCATGAGCTCCTTTTGTCGTTGGGTTACTGTGGTGATGCAAAAGCCTCTCACGAAACACTCATCTTCCAATTCCTTAGTAAGACTGGGTAGTGTATCTTCATCTTGGATAAAGCTGGGCTTTTTTTAGTGGGGGGCTAATGTACTGAGTTTCAAAAATACTGTTGGACAAAGGAGCAAGTTCCAGACTTGGAATACTATAAACTACGCCCACAAAATTAATCACCTTCGAGAAATAGAAAGTCCTGGGCTAAGATGGGCTACTGGTCAATTCTACGCATCATTTAGGGACTAGATTACACCAGCTACCTTCAAGCTGGAGGCTCAGAGGCATCAGCGCTCACGCACCTTCGCGCCCCCTGACAAGAGCTTGCTCCCCTCCAGGGTGGTTGCCCTCCCCCAGCACCTTGTTGCATGCCTGTTGTTGGGGTGGTGGGTTTTTGTTTCTTTTTCCCTTTTAAACTCAGTCATCAGGCTGCCCTGGACCTGTGCTGTTCATTCTGTATTTTAAGTCTAAATTTGCTCCCATGTGCTCATGCCTGCCTGGCTAAGTAGCTATCCTTTGAACTTGAAGATGATCTTTGTAAGTAGTCTTGTAAGAAAGTGTTCCTACCAAGTGAGGGCACTGAGTAAAGGGAGTGAAGAAGCCTTTGTGCTTTGCCTGGGCTTGAGGACCGGGTGTGTGGTGTGTGTGTGTGTGTGTGTGTGTGTGTGTGTGTGTGTGTGGTGGTGGTGGGAAGAGTCCTGGAAGGCAGCCTGTGCTTTCAGGTTTGTGCTGTCCCTGAGGAGAGGGTGTGTGCAAGTGGGAGAGAAGATGGACACCTGAGCACAGGATTCCCTCACCTGTGGGTGGACTCCCCAGACCCCCTAATCATTCCAAGGAAGAGAGCTGCCTTCCGCACTTTTTGTTTTTCATGTACTTTTATTGCTTTCCGAGAGGGAGAACTAGAATCATCAACGATGAGAGAGAATCATTGATCAGCTACCTTCTGCACGTCCCACACTGGGGATCGAGCCCACACCCCGGGTGTGTTCCTTGACTGGGAGTCGAACCGAGACCTCCCAGGCTATAGGTCGACACTCAGCCCCTGAGCCCCAGTGGCCAGGCCCCACTTGTCTCTGGATGAGGAGACAGTCCCGTTCTTGGCGAGGGCATCGTTTACTTCTGATCGAAAGGTCCCTGTGAAGTGAGCAGCCTGTTCTCTCCTCGCCAGCTCAGAACACTGCGTGCCTCCAGGCAGCCAGTCCTGCAGCCTGGCGTCTGCACTGAAGGAACATGAGGCGAAAGACACACAGCCTGCCAGGGCTCGGAGCTGTGAGGACACGGGGCTTGTGAAATGGGGCCTGGAGAGGGAAGAGCTGAGTGCAGGCCACAGGAGGCCGTGGCACAGGCAGGTCTCAGTGCCAAGCGTGAAGAGAGGACAGTGTGAGGCCCTCATGGCAGACCAGTTCCCTGGCAGATTGCTGTGGCCCCTTCAGGCATCCTGTGTCTGTCACTCAACCTGGTGCTCAGCACCCTTGGGTCCAGCCATGCAGTTTAACCCTTTCCCAGCCCCTGCCCCTTGACCCTTGGCCCTGGTGCCAGCCCCGTTGGCCCACAGCTTGGCACTGTGTCCCAGTGGGGGCCTGGAGGTCCAGGCCCTCTCCTCATGCAAGGTCTTGGGCAACGGCGTTTCCTTGTGGGCCGAGAGGGCGCTGTCACTTGTCCTGGTGACCGGGCCACACTTCTGCTCAGTCTGAGCTGTGGGTAGTGAAGCCCAGGCTGCCCTTGTGTGCTGCTGGGATTTCTGTCTGTGTGGCTCTCACACCTGCACTTACCCTTCTTCACCTTTGTCTCATTGGTTTGGCTCGGTGTCCTGTCCTGTGAAGGTCACCGTAGTCTGGTTTATAATCTGATCTCCTAAGTGTCGCCAAGGGTGGGAGTCAGCCGGGGCAGGCCAGGCAGAGAGCTGCCCCAGGCCTTGAGCCACCGCCCTCACCTCCAGGGCGCAGGGCAGACAGCGGCCCCCTCCCTTCCTCACACTGGGCTGCTGTGACAGAGCAAAATGAAAGACCTGCCAACAAAGGCCGTTTGTCAGAGCATGTAGGAAGCTGTCATGTCTGATCTTTCAGGTTTTGCAGCCTTCCTGAAATTCCGGCGGGGGGGGGGGGGGGGGGGGGTTGGGGGGACCGGTGATGCCCTCTGGTGTTGGAAGTTCCTGTTGCCGGGCCGTCTGACTGCGCCCTTCCTGTCTTGCATTTTAGGATTTCTGGTTTGTAGGTCATACTTAATGTATGTGTCGGAAGCAAATAAGAATTGTTCTGTTCTATTGTTTTGTTTTTTAATGACTTTTCCCAATTCCTGGGCCACTCCCTTCTTTCATTTTTTCCTGAATCTAGTTGAAAGAGTCTTAACCTTTTGTTGCCTCTAGATTTTTTTTTTAAATAAGTAACTGATTCTGTATTTGAGATTTTTAATTCTATCCATACAGGTTGATATAGTAGATGTGACTTTTTTCTTGGTAAGAACTCTTTGGAGACTCTGCATGTGGCTCCCATCTGTTTGCACTGTAGTTGAATGATTAGGATTAGTTATTTCCCCATCGTGTTTCCTTTGGTGGTCTCCAGCCCTGGCCTTGGCAAACACTGAGCCCTGCTTTCCTAGCATCGAGTCTGCCCAGCTGGGCCTGGTCTCCCGAGGTGGTGTGGCTCCCAGCCTGCTCCGCAGTCAGCACTCAGGAGCAGTGGCCCCGGGGACCGTTAGGGGGGGAAGGTTCTTCGGCTGCCGCACCTGCACACGCGTGCATTTGTGCCCCTGCTCCATAGCGCTCGTGTGGGCCCTATAGCTCCTCCAAGACTCTCTGGCACCCATACCGTGTTTGTTAGTCCAAATCGTTCTGGTTTTCTGGCTGTCACCCCGGCCATCCCTTCAGGGACCATCGAGTCCCCTCCGTTTCAGCCCAAGTGCCCTCCCCTGCCTGTCACGTGGATGTGTAATCCACTGTCCCTCTCCCCCCACCCCCCGCACGGTCTAGCTGCGCCTCGTCAGCTGGGCAGTAGTGGTGGGTCCAGACGGGGCTGCCAGCCTTGGAAGGAGCAGGTTCTCCTTCTGGCCTCGATGGGCACCCCTCGGCGAGATGTCTCATCTCTGTTTTGTCTGAGGCTGCCACCCAGCACCATGTCCTGCCCCGTCTCCCAGCCCCACTGTGGGTCCTGTGGTGTGTTACTTGGGTCACCGCAGGCGTTGGCCTGGCCAGGTGTTGTCACCGATGCTCTGAGAGGCCACTCAGGTTGGGGCTGGCAGGGCAACTGCAAAAGGCAGCCTCACTGAGAAGCATTAGCCATCGGACACCCAGGGCAGCGCCTCGAGGGGCCATCCTCTGTCGCGGTGTCAGCCTCCCTCCCGTAACGCTGCCTGGTCTGTGCCTCCTGGGGTCAGCAGGAGGCCAGGCTGTCCTGCGACAGCGAGGCTGCACCTGAGACACGGTGAGGGTGCCCGCAGACACGCCAGCCTCCCCTGGCTGTTTGCCTGGGGCCTAACCCTTTAATTCCACCCACAGCTTCACTCTATCTGGCTTCAGGTGGGCAGGTCTCCTTTTATATTGATATATATATATATATATATATATATATATATATATAATTTTATTTTTTTAATTGAGTTTTAGAGAGAGGGATAGAGAGCCAGAAACATCAATGAGAGAGAATCATCGATCAGTCACCTCTTGCACACCCCCTACTGAGGATGTGCCCGCAACCAAAGAACATGCCCTTGACCAGAATTGAACCTGGGACCCTTCAATCCACAGGCCGACACTCTATCCACTGAGCCAAACCGGTTTTGGCTCTCCTTTTTAATATATTGGTTTTTATGGTCTTTTATTTGTGTTCAATATCAACTATTGCTTCCTCCTCAGTTTCAGAAAATTCTATATAATAAAATCCTAGCATGCAAATTGACTGAACAGCGTAAAGACCAGTTGCTATGACACGCACAGGGGGAGCGCCGCTCGGCCAGAAGCCAGGCTCAGGGCTGGTGCCTCCGCTGCGGGCGGGAGGTAAGGAGCAGGGGTCCTGGACTGAGAGAGGGCACAGCCGGGCTGAGGCTCCCCCTCCCCCCGCCCTGTGCATGAAAGCACCCAGTATTTCCACACTGAAAAATAATTTTTCTTAACACTCTGGTGCACTCCCTCCATTATACGGTCTTATTGGGTATGTAAGACCTTGGCCTGCCCAGTGTGGCTCAGTGAGCATCGACCCATGAACCAAGAGTTCCTGGTTTGATTCCCAGTCAGGGCAGTGTAGGGGGAGTGCAGGAGGTAGCTGAGCGATGATTCTCATTGATTTTTCTCTCTCTCTAAAAAGATATCAATAAAAAAAATACTTTTAAGAAGGAATTCTTTGTTTCTGCCTTTTCACTCAGCCTTGCAGCCTCACTGTGTAGAGCACCCTTCACGCACATCTCCGCCGTCAGGGCCTCTGGCGGCCAGGGCCCGGGCCGCGCTGCCAGGCACTTGTGAGGCTGTGCTTTTAGAGCTATCCCGAGCCTGACTTTGCTGGGCTTCCTGATGTTTCGATGACTTGATGCTCTCAGAGTGGATCTGAGGCACCTTTGCCAGGCCCACTCCTCCCCACACCCCTCGTCCTGGGACCCTCGCAGCACGGGAAGCTTCCTGCTGCTTTGATAAGTAACAAGTTGTACCCTGAATTCTGTACACTTTGAGGTTGTTTATATGTGTCATTTCTGCACTCAGTGACTTTTTTAGCTTTTTGAGATCAGGTTTTCATCTGGGTGCCCAGGTGTGAGTGAGTGTGCCTCGCTCCCTGTCCTGCTGCGGGCAGAGCTGTCCGGCCCGGGCTGTCTTCCTGATCTCACCCCTCTCTCCACTTCCTTGGCATCGGGTCCTAGGCATTGAGAAGGCACGTCTCAGACACCTGCGTTCCCAAGTTTCCTTCCCAGCTGGTCAGACCTGGGGCAGTGGCAGCCCTGGCGCTCACGGGGGACAGCAGTGCCCTCTCCCCCGGGCATCTCCCTGAGGTCAGCCGAGGCAGCCTGCCTTCCGCCATGGCAGCCCTGGCACCAGGTGTCTTTCTGCCAACGAGGCCGGCGAGGTGGGTTTCTCACCTTTCTCTGCTGCCCATCTGAACAGACGCTGCTGGCTCCACAGCTGGCCTCTTGGCATGACCTGTGGCCACTGGGCCAGCCCGGCCTCACAGCCCCCACAGCTCCCACAGCCCGGCCCCCACAGCCCGACTCCACAGCCCAGCCCCCCACAGCCCAGCCCCCACAGCCCGGCCCCACAGCTCAGCCCCACAGCCCGGCTCCCACAGCCCGGCTCCCACAGCCCGGCTCCACAGCCCAGCCCCCACAGCCCCCACAGCCCGGCCCCCACAGCCCGGCCCCACAGCCCAGCCCCCACAGCCCCCACAGCCCGGCCCCCACAGCCCGGCCCCCACAGCCCGGCCCCACAGCCCGGCCCCACAGCCCAGCCCCACAGCCCAGCCCCCACAGCCCCCACAGCCCGGCCCCCACAGCCCGGCCCCCACAGCCCGGCCCCCACAGCCCGGCTCCCACAGCCCGGCCCCCACAGCCCGGCTCCCACAGCCCGGCCCCCACAGCCCGGCCCCACAGCCCGGCCCCCACAGCCCCCACAGCCCGGCCCCCACAGCCCCCACAGCCCGGCCCCCACAGGCAGCCGTGCTGGCCTTGCAGAACAGCTGCACCCCTGAATGTGGTGTTGGGGACTGGCCCTCAGGAGGACACTATAGCTCCCTAGGGTGGGCTGGTAACATTGAAATCGTTTCCATTTTATTTAGAATTAGCAATACTTTTCTATGAGCAGTAAAATCTGTGCATTATTATTTCCTTAAGATATACTCCTGAGGGGCTGGCTGGGCTGGAAGGCACAGGTTTTCCTGTTGCCCTGTGGCCCCAGTGTGTCCTCTGGTGTGGGCACTGGGTGTTCCGGCCAGGGGGCTGCCTCTGAGGCTGCAACCTCCAAACTGCTGAGGACACCCCCACGCTGCCCAGCCCCTCCTGCTCACCCGCCCCCCAGTGTGCAGGCGCACTAATCACCCTTTGCTTTCTTTTCCAACAGCGTTGTGTGGTCCTGCGCTTTCTGAAGTTTCCTCCCAGTAGGAAGAAGGTAAGGTCTGTTGAGTTTGCTACCCAGACATTGAAACAATGACTTAGGGACACTTTGATTTTATTTCTGATGGGGAAGTCTGAGTGCTCATTACAGAACTTAACTGTGACACAGCATTCCATCAGAACGTGGTGGGTCTGATTCCTGCAGGTCCCGGTGCTTGGTGGGGTCGCTGTGGGAGTCCCTGGATGCTGAGCTAGAAGTCGCCTGTTCAAGTCAGGGAGCCCTGTGGCTGGTGGGGACCCTGAGGGCCAGGTCTTAGCTTTGCGTTCCCCCATCTCTGAACATGAAGTCTGGGATGCCGGCAGGTAGGCAGCATTGCAGGTCCCAACAGGCAGCTCAGTGAAGCCTTGTTTCTATTTGCTGAGTCGCCCACGCCCAGGACTGTGGACACCCTCTGAGCTGTTGCTGCTCTGCAACCCCGCTGACCTCTGGGAGGCAGTGACCTGGAGAGGGGTGTCACTGTGGTTTTCATCCAAATCTCGGTGGGTGCAGGGCTCAGTACGGGAGCCTCAGAGCCCCTCCTCTTTGTGGCCCGGGGGTCGGGAGGGAGGCGAAGGAGCTGGTGTGAGCCCTGCTCCAAAGCGAAGGCAGAGCTGTGGGCACGGCTCTCCCAGGGGGGACGGCGGGGTGGGGGCAGGGAGTGGGGATTGGGCAGCATGGCCGTTACATTTCTGTGGAATCCAAGTGGAGGCCAGAGCCATCTGGGCGGCTGCCTCCAGCCCCCTTCTCCACTCAGCACCTGCTACGTCCAGGCCCACTCTCCGGTCAGCTTTTCCTGTCCCCATTTCTGGGGGCATTGTCAGTTTGCGTTTACTTATTGTGCCAGGGGCGTTACCGGGGAATGCTGTGGTCGTGCTGTCAACAAGAGGAGCTTTTTGTCAGGAGCCCTGGGCAAGTGGCTGGAGCCACTGCGTGGGCTCTGGGCCTTTCTGTTGGGCTTCATTCTCTCGCGTCACACTGCCCGTGCCCTGGGATGCCCGCTGGGTCTGCGATGCTGCAGCGCAGATGGCAGCCCCGCCCAAACCTTCCCTGGAGCTCAAGCCCTGTGTCAGCACCGCCTGGACTGCCCTGGAGGACAGCTCTCTCTTTCCTTAGACCTGGACGGACCCTGCGGAGTTCCCGCCTCGGCCAGGGCTCCTCAGGGCTGATTTCTGTCTCACCCAAAGCTTATAGCTTACTGGCTCCTTACGAACATCTGACTTGGGAGAAAATGTTTTATTCTCTATTTAGAGGCTGAAGAATAAAATGTAAATACGTACCTAGTGATTTTTGGACAGGAGAGATTTTCAAAGTCCCGTTCCTCGGAAGCGGTGCACGAGCGCTGGTGGAATCACCGGTGTTCCTGGCCCAGGAGTGGGTCACGTGGGGCCCTGGGTGGAAGGCAGAGGTGGGCCTGGGAGCTGAGAGGACAGAAGCTCCGGTGGGTCTGGTGGTGGCTGTGGCGAGGCTCCCTCCTCCGCGGCCTGGACCGCGTCTCCTTTCGGGAGGGCAGACGGCGCCCTGTGTGCCCTCCATCTGCCACCGCCACCTCGGTAAGGCCTCCCTGTGCTTCTCTGTTGCAGGCCTCGGAAGAAGTATTCCAGCACCTACAAAACATAGTGGACTTTGGCAAAAATGTCATGAAAGAGTTTTTGGGGGAGAACTATGTTCATTGTGGGGTAAGTGGTTTCATTTATGGAGTCTTAAGTTCATGGGCAAGACCTGTATTAATAACACCAGCTTCTCAATTACAGTTCGGAACTCTGAGCTTGCTAGTTCCTCATGTCGGAGTTTCCGAGCGGTTTGTTGTTCGCATTTGCTGTGTTGTGAGGTAGCAGAGCAAATAGTGTTATTCCCATTTTCTAGCTGAAAAGCCCGAGTTTCAGAGAGACCACCTGAGACCCCCACTTGCCAGGGTACCAGTCTCCTCCCGCCGCCTTGGAGATGTGCAGCATGGCGAGGGCCAGATCGCGGTCCAGACAGCCTGCTGCGTGCAGTGTGGCTGGTCTGCGCTGCTGGCTCCCGTTGGTCCTGTCACTGACAAGGTCTGCAGTGTGGACGCTTGGGGAGGAGACAGTGCAGGGAGCCACAAGGCTTGGCCCGGCTGTCTCAGTGTCTGTTGGCCCTGCTGCCTGTTTTAGATCAGGGCTCTGAACAGATTAACAGGTTTGTCACTTTGCACCTAGAGAGCATTGCTCCGTTTTGCAGATCCTATGACTTGCGTCTGTCCTGGGAAAAATGATCCTTGGAGTTGAGGGCACCTGTGAAGTAGAAGGGTTGCCAGGCAAAGTAGGTTTTAAATGGCTCTGACAGTAAAGCATCCTCCAAGAAGGTCCTTAGACAAGCTTAGGATGTATGGGGGTGGCTGCGCATGTCCCTCAGGCTGCAGCCTTGACTGAAGGCATCAGACCCTTTTCCGGGGTGGCCCAGCCATGGAGCTGACAGGGTGGCGCGGCTTTTGGCGGGCTTTCTCAGCACCTCCCCACATGGGTTTACTGCAGGGCTCTGAGGGTCCTTGCGACTCAGCCCGGGCTCCCCAGTACTTGATCTGAGAGATGATCTGGCCCAAAGTTGTGTCTGTCCTTTCCACAGCAGCCTTGCAGGTCAGCCCATGCAGAGTGGAGGGCCCGCAGGGAGCTGCAGTCTGTGCGGGGCCTTTCTCTGTCTCACAGAGCTGAGGCTCCAGATCTTTCTCCTGGCAGGGCCAGGGAGGAGGTAGTGGGAGGTGAGGGCAGCCCGGAGCAGCGTCAGGGTGCCCCTGGCCCAGGGCACACATGCTCCGCCATCCACAGGGGATGGGTCCCTGGCTGCATGAGGAGAGGCCACAGGTCGCTTTCTGGGAACAGGCATCCTGTTGGCATGGAGACAACACCTGAGTGAGCACAGCCTGTCTTGCCCCCAGGGGACCGCCACTCAGGCCTGGCCCACTGGCATCCGGAGCCCGTCTCTGATCCGCACCAACACATGCAGGCAGGCAGCTGGCCCAGATGCCGCGTGACGGGAAGTGGCCGGGTGCAGCCGGAGAGCGTTCCCCTCCTCCGTGTCCTGGGACAGATACAGCCGTCCATGGGGAGAGCACTCCGGCCTGCCCAGCTGTTTGCCGACTGGTCTGGGCCGGTTTCCGTGTGAGCTGGCGGTTAGCCAATGGGGACGAGGCTGTCCCTTTATGCCTACAGATGTCTGCATCTTAAATCCTGGGGATGCTGGAGACCTGGCGAATTCTAGGTTTGCCTCGCTTTTGTGGGCCTCGGCCTTCAAGTTTGGGTGCCCCTGGGCGGCCTGGACTTCACCTTTACCCTGACATGATGGGGGCACGGGCCAGGTCAGCCCATGTGGCGAGTGAGGCTCCAGTCTGGGCGGCCTTCTCTGCAGCCTCCCTTCCCTTTGAGGGCAGTGCCTGTCAGCAGGGAGCCGGGGAGGCCCCATCTTCCAGGAGGGCTCCATGCTCTTCCAGTTTCCCTAAGTTAATGCCATGTGATTACCTCCCCATAACCTCCCTGCTGATGCCCACTGCCTCCCAGGGCTCTGAGGGGCCCTGCTTCCATCTGGCAGGTGATGGCACGGCTCACAGGGTCATGAGTCTGAAGCAAGGGTTGGTTAATATAACCAAATGCTGGGAAGAGTGTTTACTACCAACATTTTACTCTGACTTAAGACACAAATAGGACTCATTATAAAAGCAGGAATTTAAAGTTGCTTAAAGAAATAAATTCTACTTTTCACCGTGGTGACTGTGAACTTAGGTGGGGCAGTCACAGATGTGTTTCAGAGTAGCTGAGCCACTTTGAGCTCTGGACTCGACCCCTTGGTCCCCTGCACGGTCTGTCGCCTGAGGAGTGCAGCAGGGCCTGCCTGCCTTCCCCGGCCGAGGCGTCAGCCCCTGCGCAGGCCTGAGCGCCGAGCGGCCGTGCCCAGCCTTGGCCCAGGCTGCGGGCTGAGGGGTCCTCTGAGGGAGGGTCTGGAGCAGTTCTTTATCTTTCCTGCACAGTGTCCCTCGAGTGCCATCTGCTCACGTCCTACCTTTGGTTTGTTAAAGTGGACTGAGACCGTGGGCTTTTAAGTTTTGCATTTTAAAATGTTTATAATACCCCCTCTTCCATTGTTTCACCTTACCTAACTCACTGAGCCACACCGGCCCCACCTTACCTAAATCAGAACTAAACTTCTAGCAGCTTGCCTTTTACCAGTTTACAGCTTTGCAGGTAAAGGCCAAATTCAGGAGGTCAGCTCACTCCGCAGGCTGGAAGTGGATGATGGGCAGCCAGGGCCCTGCAGGAGCACGTCTGTGCGGCAGGAAGCAAGCAGGCCTGGCGTCCACGTCCCAGGCTGGGCTCCTGTGTTCTGTGGGGCTTCTCCAGAGGCGAGCCTGCCACCCAGGCAGCCCCAGGACAGTGGTGAGAGCACTGACTAAAGCTCCTTCCGCGGGAAATTGCGAGGAGCAGCAATGTGGAGAGAAGCTACGTGGTCTTTCGCCCAGATGCACAGCCTGCGGGCCTCGGAGTCCCGTGGCGGAGGGCCCTGGGCTCTCCCGGAGATTAGTGTTCCATCAGACCCTTCCCTGAGCTATTCCCTGGGGGCGTGGGAGAGACTCCGTGTGTCTGGAGACACTGCTGGGAGCCTTCGTGCCAGCAGCAAGCCCCTCCGGCCTGCTTTGCCGCAGGGACACCACGAGGAGAGGACACCGACTGGGGGATGGGCCGCTGCTGGTCACCACCCGGCACCCAGCTCTGAGGAGGACAGCGCTCCTAGTGCTTCTGCTGAATCGGGACGTGAGGCCCACGTTCTGGTACCGAGGACCTGTTAATGTGCAGAAATATACGTCACATAATGTGCCGTTGGCACCGGTGTTGGTGCGCAGCTCCGCGGCGGGCGCATTCTCCCTGCTGTGCGGCCCACACTCTGCTGTTTGTCCTTACAGGAGGTGGTCCAGCTGCCTCTAGATTTTGTGAAGCAGCTCTGCTTAAAGATACAGTCCGAACGACCAGGTAAGGCTTCTTTCTAACTTACACGTTTCCTGTGTCGTGTAAGAGGCCCGGGGTGAAGTGTGGGGCATTTTCCCTCATGGTAGGCAGATGCAGTTTTCAGCAGGGTAGAGATCCCGGAGCTTATGGAGACAATTCTGGCGCCAGATCCCCAGGCCACAGCAGAGAATGTGTGACCAGGAACTAATACTGGTCATGTGGGAGTGAGAGGGAGCCAAGGAGTTAGGGGAGACTCAGGGAAGGGAAGGGAGGCTGCAAGGAGACTGGAGGAGCCAAAAGGAAACCAAGTAGATCCGCACTGCAGAGGAGGGCCAGGCCCACAGAGTTTGCAGCCGGAGGACCTGCCCCAGAGTGGAGCCACCCAGCCTGCTTGTCCTCCTGGGAGACTAGGAGACATGAGTTCTGTGGGCAGTGCCTGCCCCATCACCTCCCGCGCCTGCCCCTTCGCCTCCCGCGCCTGCCCCATCGCCTCCCGCGCCTGCCCCTTCGCCTCCCGCGCCTGCCCCGTCGCCTCCCGCGCCTGCCCCGTCGCCTCCCGCGCCTGCCCCATCGCCTCACATGCCTCCCCAATCACTTCACGTACCTTCTTGAACTTAGTCATGGCTTAGTGATGGGAGGTGATGGGGCAGTCAGACTTGCCTTTCAGGGCCAGAGACAAAGAGGTAAAGCCTCTGTGATTGAGATGGACATGCCTCCGTCCAAAAAGCAGCCCGGCAGCCACGGTGTGCAGTGGCCGGTGGAGAAGTCTCCCTTACGTTGCAGGAGCAGGCCAGCCCCAGAGCACCGTGCCAGGAGCCTCTGGTGGAGGAGGCCTAGAGGAGTGGGATCTGCTTGGAGAGGGCTGAGTGGGGAAGGAGGTCATAGCCACATTGAAGCCAGGACAGCGTCTTAGCTGTTTCCTCCTCTAGACTAGACGAAGACAGACTGAGACTTGCTCTAGATTCTGCCAGGCAGCTGCAGTGCTGCTCAATGCCATTATTTTATTTTAGGGTTAGTAATTAAATTTATGCTACTTAACAGTAATAATGACTCATAGTCAGCCTTGCTCTGTGAAAGGAGGAAAGCCAGCCTCACGTGGGGTCTGGAGGCCACGTGTGCCTTCCGTGACTGCCCACGGCACAGCTGCCAGCAGTCCCTGCCGGGAGCCCGCAGGAACTCTCCTTCCTCTGAGCTCCAGGTTCAGGGGCTTACAGGGTTTGGGGCAGTCCCCAAGACCAACAACCTCAGGGCCTATAGAACTCATGGTCATGGTCATTTTATGGCTCGACGCAGCTCAGGGACACAGGCAAGACCTGTGCTGGGTGCAGGTGCCCTGGCGTCGTTTGGGCTGTGTGCCCTGCTGGCAGCAGCAGTGTGTGAGCACATGGATCAGTGCCACACACAGAGACTGCCCAGCTGTGGGGGGAAGGTTTCGGAGGGCCGGGCATTAGACACAGCTGACTAGCTAGCTGCCCTCAGCCTCCAGCCTTCCGGAGGTCGAGCTGATACCATGAGACCCAACCCCCACCCCGGGTCACAGTTGCACTCATGTGACTCAGAGGCCCAACAGGCAGCACACTCCAGCTGCAGACAGCCGCCAGGGGCTGGAGGCCAGCGCTGGCCTTTCCTCCAGAGAATTCACCGAATTGTGCGGCATCGTCTTGCATCTCTGGCCCTGATCCTCAGGTATGTTCCACCCCTGTTTTCCAGAATCTCGCTGTGACAAGGACCTGGACACACTCAGTGGTTACGCTCTGTGCCTTCCCAATTTAGCCAGACTTCAGACCTACCATTTTGCCGAGCACCGGCCGATTCTATGTGTAGAGATCAAGGTGAAGTTTTGAAAAGGGGAGTGGTGCGGGGAGAAGGGAAAGGTGGGTTCAGTCCAGTGTACCTGCCAGAGCACACCTTCCCGCAGAAGCTCCTGCTATCCCCACGGCCCCGCAGCCCTTCTCGGGGCCAGTACCTCCTAGGTCCTCCGCCTGCTTCCCGCTCCTCCCATAGTGCCACCTGCTCCGTCCTGCCCTGGTTTCTCCCACCGGCCAGACCCAAGGGACATGGCTCCCCAGGCCCCAGACTTAGGCCTATTTCCAGGTGCTGCATTGGAGAGATAGCCGGCAGGCCCTGGCCGACAGCCACCAGCACAAATGCTTTGGGTTCCACCCTCCCCGTTTGCTCTGGAAGGTGCAGCTTGCAAGGCCCCGACCACCCCCTTCTGCCATGCCCTGTGGGCCCCGTGGTGACACTACATGCCGTGTTCCAGGAGGCCAGCTTGAGGGTTCCCCTTCGGACCGGGGAGCATTCTCTTCTTTTGCTGCTGTCCTGCTCAGGGGAAACCTCCCCGGAGGCACAGTCACATACATGACTCTCAAGGCCTAGGTTTGTCGTGGCCAGGAAACCCGAGCAAGGCGGGGGTGGGTGGGGGATGAGGGGTGTTGCTCCTCTATTGGAGGAAGTGATTGCCAGATAAGAGCCAGGCCCCTGGCTTCATTCTGCTGCCCAGTGCCCAGGGGCTGCTCAGGTCCTTCTCCGGAAGCTTCTCGGATGTCCCAGACTATTGTTCGTCTCCTTTTTCCAAACCTCTCTGGTGGTAGTTTTCAGGTCACACCCTTAGCCCTGAGCACTCGGAACCCCTGTGCTCCGAGGGGACTGCACACCTGCTTCCCCAGCCAGAAGCGGAGTCCCCACTAAGGCCTCACAGAGACACGGCAGCTCTCCGGGGCCACGTGCTAAATGCAGGTCTTACATGTTGCACGTGCCCAGAAACTGGCCGTTTTAAAAGGGACCTGGGGTTCCAGACATTTTGGGAGCCTAGCAACCATCAGTTGGGCCCTTCCTGTTCATGACTTCTTGTCAGAGGGAATGAGGTCCTAATTCTTAGAGCTGGGAGCACTCCCAGCATCTTTCCAGTCTTGTTTGTCTTGAAAACACAAAGTGACTCTGTTGTGCTTTTCAATCCAGCAACTGAGGACCAATGAGAGTTCTGACTCGAGCAGCACAGGGATGTTTAGATGATGCGACAAGAGAAGCATCAGAGGTTGGAGAGAAAAGCAGCTTTGGCGACACTTCTGTCCAACACTGCTGCTGCTCCCACAGTGGCCTTGCAGTTCTGTCTGCTTAAAGGAATGCAGTTCTCCCTAAGCAGATTTTCTCATTTATTTTGCAGCCAAAATGTGGGTTTATTCCTTCCTCCAGTGCCGTGACGCACGAGATGAAGCACAAGGTGTGTCGCTACTGCATGCACCAGCACCTCAAGGTGAGTGCTGGCCAGCCCGCCCGCCTGCAGGCTGTGGGGAGGGTGCTGGCCTGCAGTGACCACCCAGAGTTTTCAAAAGAGTGAAAGAAGTTGTAGATGCTTATTACTTACCTCACCTTTTTGTTTTTTGTTTTAAATTGAGATAAATTTTTTTTTGCCCTAAGATTCACCCTTTTAAAGTGTATACATTGTATACATTTAGTATATTCACAAAGTTGTACAACCATCACCACTATCTAATTCCAGAACATTTTCATCACTTCAAAAAGGAATTCTGTCCCCAGGAGCAGTCCCTGTCCTCCCAACCCCTGTCTGCCTCCTGTGTGTCTGGATTTGCCTGTTCTGGACAGTCATACAATGTGTGGCCATTTGTGACTGTCTTTTTCCATTTAGTATAATTATATTGAGTAGCATGTATCAGCACTTCATTCCTCTTATGACTGATTAATAGTCCATTGTCTGGGGACATTTTGTCCATCCACTCATCTGTTGATAAACATGTGATCTTTCCACCTTTTGGTTATTGTGAATAATGTTGCTATGAACATGCATGTACATGTGTTTCTTTGAATCCCTGTTTTCAGTTTTCTTCGGCACGGCCATGGGTGAGCCTGAACTCAGGCCCCTATTTCCCATACTCGGCCCCACGTTGGGCACCATATGTTCCGTGCCAGCACAGCCAGGTTCGGTGAGCCTAAGGGGGTGGTGTAGGATTGAGAAAAGACAGATAAGAGAAAAAAGCTGGGTCTGGGTGGGACGCTCTCCTCTCAGATGGAGAGCTAGCGACAGAAACACGGCCTACAAGCAGAGTCTGTATTTTATAGCCATATTCCACGAGGCAAAGTAAGGGCGTGGTCAAGATGTTTACAACGTTCGTGCAGGTTTCGAATCTACGCAATTATATGTATCTGAACTCTATCAAGCCCACATCACTCAGCCACATGGGACCACAGTTCAAGCTTACAGCTATGGCCTTTGGCTGTCATTGTGCTGGGGCTTGCCTGTGGCTTTACCACAAAAGGATCGTGCCCTCTCATGAGTCCCAGGTTTGAACCTGTTCAAATGCTGTAGCTGCTCCCACAGGGTAGATTCCTTGGAGTGGAATTACCGGGTCTTAGGAAAGTTCTGTGTTTAACCTTTTGAGAAAGCACCGCACTGTTTTCCCCAGTGTGGTCTTCCCATCAGTAATGTATGAGTGTATGAGTATTCTAATTTCTCCACATGCTTGCCAGCCCTGGTTGTTCTTGTTTGTGGTGAGTGTGCGGTGATAGCTCATTGTAGTTCTCATTTGTGTTTCTCTAACAGTGATGGTCAGCATCTTTTCATGTGCTTATTGTGTCATTGGAATATATTCTTTGGAGAAATGTCTATTCAAGTTCTTTGCCCATTTTGAATTGGGTTTTTCTGTTGTAGAGTTTACATGTTCTTTGTATATTATACTAGAAGCCCAATGCATGAAAATCATGTAAGGGGTTCGGCCCTCACAGCCTCAGCTTTGTCTGTGGTCATCCAGAAGGACGTCTGGAAGGATGTCTGGAATGTTGTTCAGCTGTTTGATCTAATTAGCATATTATGCTATTATTATATTATTATTATTATTATTATTATTATTATTATTGGCCCAGTGCACAAAATTTGTGCATGGGGGCAGGGGGTGTCCCTCAGCCCAGCCTGCACCCTCTCCAATCTGGGATCCCTCTCACAATCCAGAACAGCTGGCTCCTAACTGCTCGCCTGCCTGCCTTCCTGATTGCCCCTAACCACTTCTGCCTACCAGTCTGATCACCCCCTAACCACTCCCCTGCCAGCCTGATAAATGCCTAACTTCTCCCCTGCCGGCCCAATTGTCCCTAACTGCCCTCCCCTGGACCCCAAACTGCCCTCCCCTGCAGGCCTGGTCCCCACCATCTGCTCTCCCCTGCCAGCCTGGCCACCCCTAACTATCCTCTGCTGCTGGCCTGTTCCCCCTCATCTGCCCTCCCCTGCCAGCTTGATCATCCCTAACTGTCCTCCCCTGCAGGCCTGATTCCCCCCACCCCCCACAATTGCCCTCCCCTGAAGGCCTGGTTGCTTCCAACTGCCCTCCCCTGCTGACCTGGTTGCCCTCAACTGTCCCCCTCTGCTAGCTATCTTGTGGCAACCATTTTGTCTCCACATGGGGGTGGTCATCTTTGACCACATGGGGGCCTCCTGCACACTCCCTACAGGGGTTGTGCCCACAACCAAAGTACATGCCCTTGACTAGAATCGAACCTGGGACCCTTCAGTCTGCAGGTTGATCCTCTATCCACTGAGACAAACCGGCCAGGGCTGTTGGTAGGTTTTTGATTACTGATCCAGTCTCTTGTTATTGGTCACTGGACAGTTTTTTATGAAGGGTCTAGGTGTGCATCTCTGGGATTTTATCTTTTCCCTACTCAGATTTGTTGTTAAGCCCCTCTAAAGACTTATTCATTTTTGTTCTTTTCAACTACAGAATTTCTGTCTGGTTCCTTTTTAAAATTCTGTCTCTGTTGTTATTCTCCGATAGGTAAGAGGTTGTTTTCCTTGTTTTCCTTGTTTTCTTTAGCTGTAGCACAGTTAAAGTGGCTAATTTAAAGTTGTTGTATCAGTCCAATGTCTGAGCTTCCTCAGGGACCACCCGTGGATTGCTTTATGCCCTGAAGGTATGGATCATACGTTCTTGTTTCTTTGTATATCTTGTAATGATTTGCTGACAAGGGGCATTTTAAGTAATACAATGTAGTCACTCTAGAAACCAAATTCTACAACCTCTCTAGGATTTTTTATTGCAGATTATTGTAATTGTTATTGCTTTTCCAGTGGCTTTTCTATGCAAACTAAAGGCCTGGTGCATGGGTTCATGCACTGCTAGGGTCCCTTGGTGCAGCCTGTGGAAATCAGGCCAAAACCAGCACTCGAACGCTGCCTTCCCCTCCTGCCTGCCACTCCTGCTCATCTCAGCCCCGCTGCACCTGCCATCACTGCTAGGCAGGCTCGCTGCTGCTCCGCTGCCGTCTGTGGGCTGTGAGCCCTGTGTCTGGCACCCATCGGTCAGCTGAGCGGTGCTCCCGCTGTGGGAGCACACTAACCACCAAGGAGCAGTTCCTGCATTGAGCGTCTGCCCCCTGGTGGTCCGTGCGTGTCATAGCAACTGGTCAACTGGCAGAATGAACCGTTGCTTAGGCTTTTATATACATTAGGTCCTTGGGTTACATCAGAGATCCATTCCTACGGTGCAATGTTACGTGATTGTTGCTGTAAGTTGGAACCCACGTACATACACCTACATCACTCAGTGGAGCACACACAGCAGTAATGAAGTGAAACAGTAAAAAAAACTTAAAAGAAAGAGAATTCCTGACCTTTACATGTGGTAAATAAATAATAAAAACGTAAAGCACCTATGTACATACATCATAAAGCACCTATGTACATACATCGAAATGACGGAACTTTTTTTTATAAATAAGTAGCAGATGGCGATGTAACCACGAAACGACATACATTGAGTCCGACTTCACCGAGGACTATCTGTATGTAGACGCTGAGAAGTCTGCATTTTTCTTATGTGTAGCTTCTAAAGTCTCTGCTCAGTTAGCTTAGCAGGCAGCTGATGGTTTGGAAATATTTTCTTAAATCCCTGGAATCAGTAAGATTCTCATGTTTTGGCCAGAGGCTCTGTGTGTGGGCTGAGGGCTGCTTTCAACCCTCAGCAGGAGAGTTGCAACTTTGCCTTGGCCTTCACTTTCAGAGCCGAGGTGAGGGCCTCTGCAGGTCTTTGCAGAGCCTGTGCCTGGGCTTCTATAATAGATCCCCCAGGACATGCTGGAGTTTACACCCAGTGCACACTTCACCCGACAGCCTTTCTGTTGAGCTTCAGGTTTAGCCTGTTGTTAGCCACAACTGCTATTCCCCATGCGGCAGCTATGAAGTTGAAACAGTTGCCTCTGAATAGTTGTCCTAAGTGCTCCTGGGAAACAGAGCCCCTCTGAGACAGGCCAGTGAGCACAGGAAACCAGAGACGGGGAGGTAATATAATGCGCATTCTCTGGCAACACGGCTCCAGAGGAGCCCCGCCCTGCCCCGCCCTCTGCAGGCTGCCAGCTTCTGTTTTCACCAGGACTGCTGGTTTCCAGGGTTCCCTTGGAACTAGACAGACGGGGTGGGAATAGGACATTAAAGTGCCACAAAGCTCTTTACTTAGATTGGGTTGTATTTCTTGAGTAAATGCTTCCTAAATTGTTGCAAGACGTTGGTTAATTTTCAGAGTTATGAAAATTTAAATTGATTCTGTAAGTTTTGCAGTTTTCTCATTGCTCATATGGGGGAGAGAATTTCCAGAGTTGCTTACTCCACTGTTCCCACTGACTTAATACCTGCTCATTTAACTGATAAAATATGGAATTGTATGAATTAGGTCATCTGCTTTCCCAGAGATAACTCATGTTATCAGTTTGTACATCCTTCCTGACTTCTTCCTGTGCCGACAAAAATAAACGTTACACAGTGGAAGTGAGGTGATGCCATCTTTATACATATCTATGTTCACATGTGCATGTATACTCATTTATAACGCAAATACAGGTTCTTGCCATGTGAAATTGTTCTGCTAATTGCCTTTTTTCACTTAAATAATCCTTAAGGATTGTTTATTGTACAGCCTTCAAGGGCTTTTCTTTGCATAATTGTATAAATATGTGATACACATACTCCATTTTTTTAAAATGTATTTTATATTGTTGACAGTATTACAGATATTTTCCATTCCCCCCTCATCCCTTCCTCCCAGCCCTTACTCAGCACCAAGTCTTCACCACCCTATTGCCTGTGTCCATGGGCTATGCATACCTGTGTATATAAGAGGCTAAGTGTCTGTCCTTCTTTCCGACTGAATGCTATGACCCGCACTAACCACCAGAGGGCAGATGTTCGACAGGTGCTGCCATGATGCACGCTGGCCATTTAAAAATAAATGGCACCATGGACCTGGCGCTGAC